ACCTGAATGTCGAGAAACGGAAGAGAATTGCAAGTCTCAAGTTCAAAAGTGAACTGAATAGCAGGATCAATAGAATTCATTGTTGAAAGAACTCTATTTAGATCATCTTTATTACCTTCAAACAGGGTAAAAGTATCGTCTACGTAGCGGAACCATGCCGGGAAGTTTAAAGTTTCAAACAATTTTGATTCATAATAATGCATGTAGATATCAGCCAGGATGGGACTGAGGGGGCTTCCCATGGCTAATCCCTCAGTTTGCTTGTAATATTTATTTTGGAAAACAAAATGTGTTTGTTTCAAACAGAGTTGAGTGAGAGAAATTAGCTCATCAATTCGATGCAAGAGAAATGAAATTCGCGAAGTCTGGTTTCTAGACATCTTAATGCACCCTCCACTGGGACATTGGTGAATAATGATTTTACATCAAAAGAAACCATGAGTAAATTACGAGGAGAAATGTTTTTAACCTTTTTTACAAACTCTATTGAATTTTTTATGGTGTAAATGTTATTGTCTAATAGAGTGGAAAATCTAGAAAGTAGTTCAAAAAATCTTCCCATTGTAAACATCAAGCCAATAGTTAATATTTCTAATGTTAGTCTTTCAGAAGAACAAGAGAGAATTCTAAAATATAATTTTAACTTCTCACAAACCTGTAAACCCTCGATTCCAAAGATTTTGGCTCCTATCGAAAAAGCTTTCAAGTTCAGTAAAGTTTCAGATTCACAGAAAGAAATGATTAGGCATCTTATCGCTCATAATGTGAAATTCAATAATAAACCTTTGAAACCAAATCTAACTGCGAGAGAAAGAGCTACAATGCGCGAGATTCATTCTAACCCGGATATTGTCATTTCAAAGGCCGACAAAGGTGGCCAGATAGTAGTCATGGATAAGAACTCTTACATCGATGGTGTCACTAAACTCTTAAACGAAGGACCATATAATCCGATCCCTAAAGATCCTTCACCTTCGGACTTATCCAAAATAAAAACTGCGATCAAATCTTCGCAAATCATTTCAAGCAACTTAAAACATTCGCTTATCCCATCTGTTGCGAATTGTGCCAGATTATATGCTCTTCCCAAAATTCATAAAAGTGGTATTCCTTTCCGCCCTATTGTATCAAATTTAGGTACTGCCTCGTATCCATTAGCTAAATATTTAGTTTCTAGATTTTCAACTCTATTAGACAATACAATAACATTTACACCATAAAAAATTCAATAGAGTTTTGTAAAAAAGGTTAAAAACATTTCTCCGTAGTAATTTACTCATGGTTTCTTTTGATGTAAAATCATTATTCACCAATGTCCCAGTGGAGGGTGCATTAAGATGTCTAGAAACCAGACTTCGCGAATTTCATTTCTCTTGCATCGAAATTGATGAGCTAATTTCTCTCACTCAACTCTGTTTGAAACAAACACATTTTGTTTTCCAAAATAAATATTACAAGCAAACTGAGGGATTAGCCATGGGAAGCCCCCTCAGTCCCATCCTGGCTGATATCTACATGCATTATTATGAATCAAAATTGTTTGAAACTTTAAACTTCCCGGCATGGTTCCGCTACGTAGACGATACTTTTACCCTGTTTGAAGGTAATAAAGATGATCTAAATAGAGTTCTTTCAACAATGAATTCTATTGATCCTGCTATTCAGTTCACTTTTGAACTTGAGACTTGCAATTCTCTTCCGTTTCTCGACATTCTGGTCACACGTAACACATCCAACTTCAGTACTACAGTTTACCGTAAACCTTTATCGGTTTGCCTTCCACCACACTTTAAATCATGTCATCCGACTAAACAAAAGTTAGCTTCATTTTATTCCTATGTTTTCCGTGCTCTTCAAGTTTGCTCCTCCAAACTAGCCCTTGATGAAGAACTAAATTATTTAAAAGCAATAGCTATTGACAGGGGCTTTTCACCCAACATTATTAATCAAGCAGTTAAAAAATTCTCATCTCAACACACTAAAAGCCACACTCTTATTTTAGGAGATTATAAAAATTCTGTTGTCATTCCCTTCTTTCCATCAATTAGCTATAAAGTTGCACATATTTTGCAGAAATTTAACTTTCGGGTTGTTTACTCTCCCATCAATAAAATTCCAACTTCTATACTCAAGGACCCCATTCCGGATATGAATTCCTGGGGTATTTATAGGATTCCTTGCCAGTGCGGTTTAATTTACATTGGCCAAACTAAGAGAGCCTTAAAATTTCGCGTCAAAGAACATGAGGCATATGTTAGAAAAAAAGGAAACACAGAAGTCTTCTGTTGCTCAACATTGTTGGTCCGAAAATCACACTTTCAATTTTTCTGCTGCCAAAATTATTCAAAAAACATCTTCCATTGGAGAACTGGATTTTCTAGAGGCATTTCACATTCAAAAAATCTTTCTGTTCTAGTTAACGATCCTAATTCCAATCCAAATTTGCCTTCGGCTTTTAGAGAAATTATGTTTTAGTTCTGGTTTCGCCAACAGATGGCGCCACTTGCTTATTCTTGTCCAGGCTTTCTTATCTTATCTAAACATTATTTCCTATCTTGTTCATTTGCGGTTTTGCAGCTGAAGATGATGGTTCGGTAAAACCATCGAAACTAGTCCTGTGAAAATTTTGTAAATTAACGCTGATTTTTGTTGTTTGACTTCTGAATTAGTATTTATTCGGCGTGTTATTGTGTCTTCTACAGGATGTTTCTTTTTTAACGAGGCTTTTTTTATGTATTTTTAACCGACTTCAAAAAAGGAGGAGGTTATCAAATCGGAATATCTGAACCTATTTGAATGATTTTCTTTGTTTGATAGGGGGTGCTACCGGATTGGTACCATTGTTAAAAAGGGTGGTTTAAAATGCTGTCCTCTAATTTTGGGGGTAGCATTTAGGGGTTGATAAAAAATACGAGTTTCCGAAAATAATTAAAATTTGATGTGAATAAAGTCACTGGGAATCAAAATAAAATGCAAAATTAAAACTTTTAAAAAACTGCCCCTTTGAGGCAATATATATATATATTAATCTTTGGGGTTAATATTAAGGGGTGGGAAAATTTAAAGTTTTCCGATTAAATAAGGTTTACTTAAAAAAAAAAACATAAACCACCCGATTTTAAAAATATATGGATTTACTTTACATTACTTCAGTTAAGTCAGTTAAAAATAATTTTATACTTTTTAGTTATAATTTTTAAAGTCGGTTCTATATATTATATATATATATATATATCCTGGTAACTTTTAGGCGAGCTTACTACAATTTCTAATTTACTTATTTTGCATATTGCGCAAGATGTTTTTAGACCAAAATTGGTCATTCAGTATTGTAATTACTACCTTGCTTGATATATATATATATATATATATATATATATTATTAAAATGGTTTTTGAATAACGCCCAATAGAGAATACATTAATCCATTGGTATACACCAAGGTCTTTCTAAAATTGTTCGCTAAATATTTTTACTGTTTAAAAAATAGAATACAATTTGCTTTTTAAATTTAAATTTGGATAAGTTTGATTAATTTGTTGGCTTGTTTAGGGTATAGTGTTAAAAAAAAGTTTCTAGTCTATGGTTGACACTTAGGTTTTAAACAAACCTTGAAGCTCTGATGAAGGTTTGATTAAATTCGAACGGCAGTCATGGATTATAAAGTGTTTCTTTTTCTTTTTTTTTTTTTTTCTTTTTTCTTTTTTACATTTTACCTTAAACAAAGGCAACAAAATATCGCCTTATAACATTAAAATAATACTCGGAAACGCCTCTGTTTCGTTTAAATAAAACACAATAATTTTTTTATCGAAGCATTTTCTTAATTTTAATTGTTTTCTTTTAGAATGTCTGATGGACGTAAAAGATTATCGGGTGCTCAGTATAAAAGAAGAAGAGTCGAAAAGCAGGTTCAAATTCAAAAACAGGCCGGGAGTCTGTTAGTTATCTACAAGGCATGAAAAGGAACGATGACGACACAGGAATATTAGAAGCTGCTATAAATCTTAATTATGAAGCCATTACCAATCAAGATGCTGATATTGCTCAAGTGGAGCTTACCCCAGGAACATACAAAGAATCTACTCTAGAGACGTCTACTGAACCTACTCCAAGAACGTCCACTGCACCCACTCCAAGAACGTCCACTGAACCATCTCCAGGGACGTTCACTGAACCAACTCTAAGTACGTCTACTGAGCCTACTCCAGGGATATCTAAAGAAGAGACATTTGGTACAATAATAAATTCAAATCCGGATTCCTGGTCAACCAGCTTATCAGAAGCAGAAATATATTTTTTGGTAAAAGAACTACTTCAACCATTGAAGGAATACAGTTTTCCGTATAATGATAACGGTCGAAGATTTAGCGCTCTTCATTATTTGAGAAATATGAAAAATGGTTAAAAAGTCATGCGTAACTGGTTAATTTATTAATCTACAAAAGAATGTGTTTATTGCTTTTGCTGCAAACCTTTTGGTTCCATTTTAAGTTCCCTTTCTATTGGAGGTTTTAAAGATTGGAAGCAACTCGCTGAGACTTTAAATCAACATGAAACCTTTTAAAAACATATCCAAAGTCTTGGACTGAATTAAGTCAAAGAATGCAGTACTGTAAAATGATTGACAATCACTCGCAAAGACTTATTACCGCAGAAAAAAATCATTTGTACAAGGTGCTTCTACGAATTGTTGCAACAACAGAAAAGGCTTGCTGAAAACTGTTTAGCCCTCCGAGGTAAAATTGACAAACTTTACGATTTCGGTAACGTTAATTTTTTACAAATTATTCAATTACTTGCTCAGTTTGATCCAGTAATGGAAGAGCAACTTCGCAGAGTGCTTAAAAAAGAGAAAGTTAAAGTGCATTATCTCGGAAAAGAAATTCAAAATGAATTACTTATTCTTTTAGGTGAAAATATAACATCTCATATTATTGAGATTAAAAAAGATAAATAGTAAGTTCTTGCAAACAAAAGACTATGACTTACCATCTGCTATGGAGCTCTTGAAAAATTGTAAAGATTTTTTCAAGGATCTTAGATCAAACACAGACTTTAATAAAATGCTTTGCGATGCTCGAGAACTCGCCGACGAAATTGACATACCGGCTAATTTTGAGCTCATCCAGCCACGTCATAGAGTTCGAAGAACGAATATTAATTTCGACTATGAGGCACAAGATGATCCGATAGAAGATCCTACTTTGAAATATAAGGCAGAGTTTTATTTTTTCACATTAGATAAAGCTATCAATGCCCTTGAATCCAGGTTTGATTTGATGAGTTCCCACAGCAACTATTTCCAAATTTTATACAATATTTGTGATTTAAAAGATACTCCTCAAAACGACGTACTAAAGTATTGTAAATATCTAGAAACAAGGTAATTGATGGAAATTCATCAGATATAAACGCGTTGGACCTGGCAGACGAGATAGTAGCGGTTTTGGGTTTGCTAAAAAAAAAAAAAAAGTCCAATCGAAATTTTTAAATATTCATATCGAACCTGGATTTTGCTCCAAATCTCGGTATAGTTTTAAGGATATTGCTTACTCCCCCAGTAAGTGTGGCAAATGAAGAAAGGAGTTTCTCCAAATTAAAATTAATTAAAAAATTTTGACGCTCCACAACTACCGAGGATCGGCTAAACAACTTGACAACACTAGCCATTGAACATGAACTGGCTGAAGAAATTAATGTTAAAGAAATTATAAAAAAATTCTCAGAATCAAAAGTGAGAAAAAAAAACGCTTTTAAGTTTAACTCTCGGTTTAAATTCATTTTTAATATGTAATTAAGTTTTAATATTTAGTGGTTCTATAATTTGTTTTAGTATTTTTTTAATATCTGTATTTTATAACTATACACTAGAAATGACTCTTTTCTTTTTTTCTGTGTAACCCTAATTTTAATTTAGTGCTAAAAACATAAATTAATAAATTAGTATTTTCTGCTAATCAAAACTTCAACATTATTGATAGCAATATTTTTGCTCACGTTTTATTTTACCGTTAAGCGTGGGAAGGGTTTGGGTTATCTCTTTTAGTTATTCTTATAAACGGGCGGCATTTTACCTCTTTGCCCGGGGCGGCGAAACTGCTTAACACTAGGCTTAACATTAGGCTTAACATTAACATTAACATTAGGCTTAGTAAGATTTTCCCTGGTTTAGAAGTCGTTATAATTATGCCTTTTTCCAGAGTAAGACAGGCATTAATGATAGACGAAAATTTGCGTATGATGTTTTTAGGTAAATTTTTAATTGCAGCATTAGGGACATCATGAATGTCAGGGGCTTTTTTAATCAGTTCCGTAACTTCCGCAGGAGTAGTGAAGACAAGAAGATTTTTAACAGTAGGCGCATTCAGCCAATCACGTAAAAGAATCAGAGTATCCAGCTCAAAGTTGCAATCACATGGCCAGGTTTTTGGCGTAAATTGTTCCTTTCTATAATTTGCAATTCCCAAAGCTCGTATTTATATTGCTTAATAGCATATCGAATTTCTCTGTTGAGACGATTTTGGAGCGTTTTTGTTCAGGGAACGAGTTGAGGTGGTAGAGTTTGCTTTTCTTATTTCTATCTTTGATGGGATTCCTAATGTGCTTAGGAAGTTTTAAAAGTCTGTCACTGCAAAAAAACAAAAAAGTCAGATGCATAGCTTTCTTCATGCAATTTGTAAGGTTTGTAACTACACATTCGATTCCAGATTTGGAATTTTGGTGATGCACTTGCAGAGAGTCTGTTTTAGAGTAAACTCCAGGCAGTGATAGTCTTGTAAGGGGGGGAATTTCTTGTTTCGAAAGTCCTGGGATTCAATGAAAGGGTGAGGAATCTGAGGCTTTGATCAGGGATACCAGATCAGTCAGATTTTTAATGCTTGACTTCATTTAGAGCATCTTGAAGCCGGTGGATAGGGCAGACGAATAAGATTTATTTGTTATGAAGAGGTTTGCAAAGGTAATACCTTCAATGCTTGATATGAACTTGTTTTTAAACAAAATTTGGTATTTTTTAAGTAATAATACGCGAATGCTCCTGATAATTTTGGCTAGGTGTTTCACAGATATTATTTTAAGTTCTTTTCCATAAACTGTTTGAAGTTTCTGTTAGGTTTTTAATTTAAATTTGCTTTTTGGATGTATATATTTTAATGAGTTTTGATTACATTCTGCCTTTTAAGATCGGATTTAAATTAAGGATATGAGAATAGATTATACGTGCTATTCCCAAGCCAAACCACCTGCTGTTTCCACCATAGCAGTAGAAGGCGACCTCTTCTACATTTCATCAAAACTTACTACTTGGAAGACAAACATTTACGGGTGTGTGTTGAAAGGTAACCTGTCATGCTTAGTCTCTGTTTTTAATGAATGGTATTTTTAATTTTGGGGAATGTTTGTGGCTATTTTAAAAGGAGATGTTATTTACTAAAACAATATTTTTTTTTTATTATAACATGTAAATAAATATTGTTTAAAAGACTTGGAATTTTTATAACATAACTTATATCAAATAAATATAAATTATTTGGTTTAAAATCAGCTCTGTTTCAGAATACATATTTTCTTATTTCTATAAATATTTAAGTTTATACTTTTATTTCTGGGTTTAAGAGCAAAACAGATGACCTAGTTAAATACATCTGCACTGATCTTGTTATGAGGAACAAACAACAATGTTTGTTTACACATTTTAAAATTCTAACATATTATCTAATTCGATGCATGATTTCTACCTAGCATACGAAGTACAATGCAAATTAAGATTTTTTTTTTTTTTAAAGTATTAAGCGGTTTCTTATCATGTAACAGAAGTTTTTCTTGGTTGATATTCATTTATTAAGAATATTTTTTTGGTTTTCTTTTCTTTAGTTGCTGTATTAGCAATACGTAATATATTAAATAATTAGCAATACGTAATATATAAAATTACATGTCAGATTTTACTATCACATTCCAGTCAGATTTTACTAATTTACCCTCCTGTATTTTGAGTGAAACTTTCTAAAATGTTAAAAATATATTAGTTTTTATATATCTGAAGTGAAATGATAATGGCATTATATTCATTTGCAATGACTTACTTCTCTCTGTCAGATTCAGAAATTATGTTCATAAACTTTTAGATAAAGCTACAAATCACAGCAGTTACATATAGTAAAAACATTAACATTAAATACATGCCGCATATGATTTTAATTTAGTAATTGATTTTGTGATTTTTAACCTAAAATATTTTCAAATTGTATGTATTCAATAGGTTATTGTCAAATTCTCATATTTGTAATTTTCTCTCTTTAAATGCTTAGTAATGGTATAATATTGTACATTAGTAAGATGGTGTAGTGTGCAATAAGTAATATTGTGTATTAGTGAGATATTTGCATGCATAAACTTAATGTTTCATGTTGAATATAAATATTTTTAAAATTTCAGGTAGAAATATAAGTGCTTGATATTGGCAACTGCTGTTTTTCTGAAAATTACAGCATTTTAAAGGTAAGATTATTTAGCAACTTTATGTAAATACACAAATTCTTTAGTCCACAGAGTATTAAAACTGCAGAATGCTAGAAAATAATTCAACATGGTATTGAAGATTAGATGCTTTTGTTTATGAATGTAATAATGCAGATTTGGAGAAAATGATTTCATTTGTCATATTTTATGGCTTATTATGTTTGAATATATTGTCTCTCTGCATAAATAAATACTTTTATTCTTTTTAATTTGCTTGCATTTTGTATTGCTTTGTGATTCTCCATGTGAAATTTTAAGGTAAATAAATGTGTTTCCAGCATTTTAAATATGGGGTACAATATTTTATTTTTATTTTCAAATTTGATTACATCGTTCCATCCTTCTCTTGTTTATGATAATTAAAATTTTAAGTTTTCATTTTTTTAGTTTTAAAATCTACTGTAATTATATGTATAATGCTAATTTTTAAATTGTGCATCAAAGTATCCTAAATAATATATTTATCATCTGTAAACTAATAAGATTTTTAACTAAAAAATATGCTTTTCAACTCAATGTGTTTGCTCTGTTCTTAGTGGAAATGGCATGACTGCCTTTTCTGTGAATATGAAATTTCATTATCATCACTGTGGTTTTCCAAGTCAATGATCTCTTAACACATTGGGGGCTTTTTCTTTATATATGTAAATAATTAAGTTATTTTCTGAAAATGCATTCAGAAATGTTATTTTAATTTATAATGCTTAGAAAATAATTTATAGCTACTTTTTTATCTAAAAAGTATTTTATTGCTAATTTTTCAATCCCTAAATAATTTTTAAATTAAAATGATTTTTGTGAAAGGATATTTTGTTTCTAAGTAAAGAACATTTTACAATAAAAAAGGAATTAATAAGCATTTTGGGTGCAGTCAAAGCCTAGCTATCTGGCATTCAGCTAATCAGAAGGCTGAAATAACCAGAATATTTTAGAAGCATTCTCCTCCCCCCCAAAAAAAAATATTAAGCAAATGAAGAGTCTTCTAAACTGTTCGTTATAAAGTAGGTATAGGACATTGTCACTAAATAGATGTGCATCAGTAACTGATTAGTGTGATGTCACACCACAATAAGATCTTGGTCTTATGTAAAGTCGATTAATTCTTGATAAGCCAGTTTAGCTTTTCTAAAGAAGGATATAAGTTAATTACTACTAATAATTACTATTTACTTAGTTTTTCCTTGCATTTTGAAAATTACAATTAAAATTTGGAACCATTTCCCAATGGAACACATGCAGTGGAGTACTTCCAAAGTTACGGAATCTTGCCATCAAGAAAAGTATGCATTAAAAGGCACAATATGCCACTTTATTTGAAAATGAATAAAGATGGTGATGATAAAAAATATGAGCAAGTGATTTAAGTTTATTTATATGCTATATCCATAAATTCTTTGTTATCTAACTAAATACAGAAATATCTGCTCTTTTAAAGTTCTGCTGGAACGATTGTTGCAAAACATCGTTTGGAACAACTTTGCCAACTGTCATAATTGGATAAGTTGTTTCATTTTCGTATATTTGAAGTCTACAAAATACATCTTCTTTAATGTCTGAAATGAATTTAAAAAAAAAAAATCTTACACCTAATCTTACACTTAATTCAAGTTTATAATAAATAAGGTAATTGTTTTTATAATTTTAGACTGGAAATTTCATTCTTTCATTTGGCTTTTCAACCATGAATTGCAATTTTTATATGCTCAACTATCTGGAATTTTTCACATATAAGGCATTCTGCATTTCCCGAGTTTTCCATATAGTTGAGCCTTTACTATATTGTATTTTTCGTCAGATTCTGTATACCTTTAGCTACTTTGTTACAAAGTTTTTATTATCGTTGAAACATTTGTTGTAATGTCAGATA